ATCCAAAATCTATAAAGAGCTTAGCAAACTCAACACCCAAGAACAAATAATGCAATCAAGAAATGGGCAAAGGACATGAACATACATTTCTGCAAAGAAGACATCCGGATGGCCAACAGACACATGAAAAAATGCTCCACGTCACTCGGCTTCAGGGAAATACACATCAAAACCACAATGAGATATCACCTCACACCAGTCAGAATGGCTAAAATTAACAAGTCGGGAAATGACAGATGCTGGCAAGGATGAGGAGAAAGGGGACCCCTCCTACACTGTTGGTGGGAATGCAAGCTGGTGCAACCACTCTGGAAAACAGCATGGGGGTTCCTCAAAAAGTTGCAAATAGAGCTACCCTATGACCCAGCAATTGCACTACTGGGTATTCACCCTAAAGATACAAATTGTAGTGATCCGAAGGTGCACATGCACCTGAATGTTTATAGCAGCAATGTCCACAATAGCCAAACTATGGAAAGAACCTAGATGTCCATCAACAGATGAATGGAGAAAGAAGAGGTGGTATATATATATAATGGAATATTATGCAGCCATCAAAAGAAATGAAACCTTGCCATTTGCAAAGATGTGGATGGAACTAGAGGGCATTATGCTGGTCGAAATAAGTCAATCAGAAAAGGACAATTATCATATGATCTCTCTGATATGAGGAATTTGAGAGGCAGAGTGGGGGATTTGTGGAGTAGGGAAGGAAAAAAATGAAACGAGATGGGATCGGGAGGGAGGCAAACCATAAGAGACTCTCAATCTCACAAAACAAACTGAGGGTTGCTGGGTGGAGGGGGGTTATGGATAGGGTGGTTGGGTTATGGACATTGGAGAGGATATGTGATATGGTGAGTGCTGTGATGTGTGTTAAGCCTGATGATTCACAGACCTGTACTCCTGGGGCAAATAATGCATTATATGTTAATAATAATAATTAACTAATTTTAAAAAAAGAAAAGAAAATGTCAGTGTGAACCTTAATATTTTTCTTTCTAAAAATATATACCTCCTAACTGTATTCACCAATAATGGCTAGAAGTTATGATAATCCAGAAGCAAAAACCATCCCATTGTGTCCAGATTGTGTTCTTTACATACTATTTCTCATTAAAAGAAGGAAAGACTCCTTGGAGAACAGGTTGAGGTAGGAAATATGTATAAGTCAGATAAAGACATCTTGTGTCAGGAACCAGGAAAGCTATTAGAGGTTACTAAATGGTATTAAAAGACATGGGACCCAAATTGAAGTGGCTCTCACGAGCCAAAGATGAAGCAGTTTTAGCACTTGAAAAATAATAATAATAACGAAGGATTGAAATAAAGGTAAATATTAAAATTGAGGGATTTTTATCTCAGGTGATTGCAGAAGGAATGATAAAACTAGCATATCACCATTTTGTAACCACTTACAAACCAATAAATCTAGGTGATGATCATCAGTTGTTGCTAAAACCATTAGGTGAAAAGCTGGAAGGGAACTTCCTAACAGACAAATTAGGCTGATACACTGATCGCACTGACCAATCTTAATATTGACAAGAGAGACAACTGGATGCCAAGGGCAAAAAAAAAAAAATTGAACTTTGAACATAATCAATTTTCTAGATCTCACTACCAGTTAACTACCAGTTTATAGGAAATGGAGAGGATAGAGAACATGGTTTATACCAAGAGGCTGGAAAATACTGAACTAAAAGATTCAGTATATTTAACAAATAAAGGCCATGAAAAAAAATAGGGGGAGGAAACTGATCAAGAAAAAGAGTCTTAGAAACATATCAGTCAAATGTAATGTGTAGGCAGAGCTTGGATCTTGCTGAAAGCAACTATTAACAAGACATTTAAAAATAATTGGGGAAAATTCTACATGGACTGTTATTAGCTGTAGGAATACTAAGGAATTATTACTTTAGTTAGGTGTGATAATGGTATTGCACTCATGTTTAAAAAACCCTCTGTTGGAGATTTATGGGTGAAATGCTATGTGGGGTTTACCACAAAATATTCCACCAAAAAAAGTATATAAACACATAATTTATAGTAATTCATAAGTAATTATAAAACATTTCAGAATTATAAAATAAAATATTTATTTTAAAAATAAAACTTATTTTACAATAAGTTTATATGTATAATTTATAATAATATATATTATATATGTAGTAATGAAGGTATAGATGAAACAAGATTTGCAAAAGGCTGGTAATTGTTGAAACTGAATTATGGGTATATAGAGATTCATTGTACTGCTCTCTGAATTTTTATCTTTGAAATTTTAATACTAAAAGTTTTAAAAAATAAAGTCATAGTGCCTGGCTGGCTCAGCTGCTTAACCATCTACCTTCAGCTCAGGTCATGATCCCAGGGTCCTGAGATGGAGCCCTGCATTGGGCTCCCTGCTCACTGGGGGTCTGCTTCTCCCTCTCTCTCTGCCACTTCCCCCTGCTCCTGCTCTCTCTCTTTCTTAAATAAATAAATAAAATCTTTAAAAAAATAAAATCATGAGTTCATATTAATGTTTCCAATTTATAGTCAACTATATATGGCCATGTCCATTTAAAATTTTGTTCGAGTATAACGTTTTTTAGCCCTTTCTCTTCTGTTGTTCATAGTATCCCCCTACAAAGTATTTCAATTAGATTTCCTAAATTTTCAGTAGCACAAATGGATGTATATCTCTTTAGATATTGGATCTTATAATTATGCTGTATTTTATATCCTCTTTTTCCCTCCATTTATTCGATAATCTCTTTGTCCACTATTTTGTAGTCATTTGTTGACATTCGCAGTCTTAATGAATGGGTAGAAATTCAAATTACGGAGTTCAGTTTAGTTCAGTCAACAAATACTGGGCATCAGGGTTTTTGTTTTTTGTTTTAAATAGGCACTGCGCTAAATGCTTAGGATACAAAAACAAGTAAGATGTAATGTCCACACTTCAGGAACTTAGAATCTAGTGTAGATTTCTCAGTTGGGGCGCTGCAGATGCCATTAGGGGCTCTGTAAGAAGTTAGTAGAAGTTTCAGATAACAAAGGGGAACATTTTTAATTTTTTAAAATTTCCTTCTCCATGCAATGCCAGTAATTGCAGTAATGACTAATTAAGTAGCTCTGTTAGTAATTTGGCTAGAGGTTTTTCAGCTGTATGGCAATGTCTGCATGACTACGTCCATTTGATTGAGTCCACTCTCAGTTTTTGATATAAGATAGGGGATGCTATTGATAATTGGTGAGTGCTGAATTGCACTGATTGGAGAGTGATAGGTTGATGGCATCAGCTTCTCCATCTTGAACTGTACCTCCTTATTCTCCCTCAGCCTCTCCCTACCACAGCTATCTTTCTTTATCTCTCTCTGACAAATAAATAAATAAAATCTTAAAAAAATAAAAATATATAGGGCACCTGCGTGGCTCAGTGGGTTAAGCCTCTGCCTTCAGCTCAGGTCATGATCTCAGGGTCCTGGGATCGAGCCCTGCATCTGGCTTTCTGCCCAGCGGAGAGTCTGCTTCCTCCTCTCTCTACCTACCTCTCTGCCTACTTGTGATCTCTGTCTGTCAAATAAGTAAATAAAATCTTAAAAAAAAATTCATTGATTTCATCACAGTGAGTTAGAGTTAACAGTGGACACCAAATGGAGTTAAACACTGAACATAAAAGTTAGATGAAGCAAAGCAAAATAGAGCAAGGCAGTCAAGAGTAATTTTCTATATGATCTACAGAATTTAAAGTACATTTACCAAATCTGAATAAAAATATATTTATTAAGTTCCTTTCATACATAGGATTGTTAGGGGCTTTCTCAAGAAATTTATGTATTAGTGTAGAAGACATATTGTGATTTCCAGCATTTCATAGTGAAGTTTACAAAGTTGTTTCCAAATCAAAATTAGCCTCTGAAGTGGGTACCAATCTCCGCCCTTTCAAAGAAGAGGCAATTCGACTGTGTCAAATACCAAGGTAAGGTCTCAGACAATTCTGGTGTAAAAGATACCATCCAGGGGCGCCTGGGTGGCTCAGTGGGTTAAAGCCTCTGCCTTCGCCTCAGGTCATGATCCCAGGGTCCTGGGATGGAGCCCCACATCGGGCTCTCTGCTCAGCAGGGAGCCTGCTTCCTCCTCTCTCTGCCTGCCTCTCTGCCTACTTGTGATCTCTGTCAAATAAATAAATAAAATCTTTAAAAAAAAAAGATACCATCCAAATTTAATAAATGGTTCACTAGCTTTCTTTGGAAAAGAAATTATACTGGAAGCTGAAATTAGATATCAAGGGCTTAAAGGGGATGAGGGGCTTGCAGCATAGAAGGTCCAGAGCCTGTCAGTGCTAAAAACGTACTGGACAGGGGCGCCGGGCTAGCTCAGTCGGAAGAGCCTGCCACGCTCCATCTCCCGGTTGTGTGTTGGAGCCCCACGTTGGGTGTAGAGATTATTTAACTAAAGCATGTTAAAAAAAAAAAAAAAAACTTGACAAACTGAATAAACCGTTTGGTGCAAAAGATAAAAATATCTGGCTTTTGTCACATAAAATATACTTTTAAAGAAAAAATATTTTTAAGATAAACATACACCCAGTTTTTCTTCCTTTAACTGGTGAAACCGTAGGAGAGGACAGGCGCAGTCAGCTCACAATCGTACATACTTCAAAAGGTCCGAGAGAAACAAGCGCTCCAAAGAACGCAGGAAGACCTTGCACGGGGTTGCAATGCCACCAGATCCACCTCTGGGCAGAGAGCAGCTGAAAACCCCTCAGAGATGTGGGCTGCATAGTTGCTGCGGCTGGTAATGAACTGACGAACGAGGAGACCATTTCACGGCCTGAAAAGCCAGAGCTCACGGCCAGTCCCCCGCCACTTAGAACCCGCAGGATCCCGGGAGAGTCGGCGGATCACTAACTCCAGCCATCTCCCAGGGCAACAGCGTGGCGGCACTTCCGGCAGCTTCATCGCATTCAAAGGACGCCACTATTATACGTCACTTCCTACGTAGGTGACGGCAAGTTGACCTGTCGTGAACTGGGGTTTGAAGTTAGTATTGCTGCTCTTCCAGCAGAAAAGGCTGTTCTGAAAGGCGACGGCGCCCCGGGTTCTGCCGGTGATTGGCTTTTTGTAAACCAGTCCTTCGAGTTTCTTGCCGTTTCCCACCCCACCCCGCCCCTCCTCGCTTCGCCCTCAGTGTGCGCGGGTACGGTGGCCGAGGAGGCTCGTGTATAGCGAAAGTACAGGGCAGGTGGGTGTGCTCAGCGGGGCTGGAGGTGCACGTGGCGTCGGTGAGTTGTAGTAGGGAGCCCAAGGGTTCCGGAACCCAGCTGCGGGAGGGTGTGGGGGGGAGGAAGAGAATGCGTTGTGAAGACCTTACTGCCTGCTCGGGGAGGAGGTACTAAGCGGGGACGCCGAGGCTGGTGAGTGGTCCGGTCAGCGCGTAAGGCTCTGGGGAGGTGACACTCCTCACCCTTCAGGTTCATCTCTGGCGGTTTGGTCGTGCTGAGGCGGCAAGGTTGCTGTATTTATTACTGTCCCCCCGTATAGTGGTCTGAGCGTGGCTCAGAGGGGTTAGGTGGTGTACCCAGACGGCACAGTGACCAAACGGTACGCACTTTTTTTTCCCCACCAGGTAAAGTAAGCATGTCTTTTCGAGGAGGAGGTCGGGGGGGCTTTAATCGAGGTGGCGGCTTCAATCGCGGCGGCAGCAACAACCATTTCCGAGGCGGAGGCGGGAATTTCAGAGGCGGCGGTGGCGGCCGAGGAGGATTTGGACGAGGAGGTGGCCGCGGAGGCTTTAACAAAGGCCAGGACCAAGGACCTCCGGAACATGTAGTTTGTATGTCGCCTTAAATCTTAGCCTGCTTGTTAGCCTGCTTGGGGCGGAGGTTATAGGTTTAAGTTCGGGGGTTACGTGCTGAAAGATATCTCTAGCAGCTCTCCTCATACGGAAATTGCTGCTTGGTTGGGGAGTCAGTTCTGGAGATGCTGTAAACTGACTTAAAATAATGCTTTATTGCTGTAATGAGAAAGGGAAGATGAAGAAAGCAAAAGAACACGTAGAATGCGTACGTGAGGTGGAAATTGAGCTTGGGCTGAAAACGAAGTTATTAAGTAGGTAGTATTGTGTATTTACTCCTGTTGTTCCCGTTTTACAGGTAAGAAAACTGTGATTCAGAGTTAGGTTTCTTTACAGGGATCATAGTAATAAGTGATCAGTTTGAGATACAAAGCTTTTCTGACTCCAAAGCCCATGCTCTCAGTTGCTATTCATAAGTAAGAGAAGTGTGAAATAAATTGCTTGGAAGGGAAACTAGAGGGGAAGCCAAGAAAAAGACCTAATTAGAGTAGTTTTGAAGTAATTATCAAATGAGGTGGGATGGAAGCGGTGGAAAGTGACACAGATTTGACAGTAGAAACCTACATCAAAAAGGAAAAATGATGAAGAGAGTTTAATATAAAGATGAGGTTGGGCCTTAAAAGCAGTTGTGCAACATGGTTTGAAGAGTGCAAAGGGTAGAGTCATAGGTCCTAGCCCACAAGCATGCAATGATCCAGGCATGGTGCACTGTGAGGGGGATGGAAGTGAGGGTAAAAAAGGAAGGGTTTGATGGGAGAGAGATTCCAGTGGAAACAAATTCAGTAGAACTTGGCTAATACTTGGGAATAAAAGGTTCCAGGTTTTGAGCTTGGGTAAGGGGGATGAAGAATTGGTTTTGCAGGGATGTGATGAGTATTTTTGTTTGGGGTGACAGTCAGAAATAATGGTATTTTGAGATTCCACACTTCTCTGAAAAAGAATGAAGAGTCATTGGTGTAGAGGTGGTAATGGGAAGTTATAAAAGGGGAGGAGAAAAAGAACAAAGACTTGATTTACGGTTAGGGACTGTGGAAATGAAAAGAGACGGTAGAGTGTAAGCATGGTGTTTAATATAATAGTTACTGTTATAATAAAACACCTGTTATAGGTTGGTCTTAATGTGCCAGGCATTTTTCTTAGCACTTGACATTTATTATTGTGTTTATTCCTCATAATACTGAATGTTAGGTGTTAGGTGTTTATTATTGTGTTTATTCCACATAATACTGAATGTTAGGTGTTGGTACTGTTATTAGCCCTTATTAAAGACAGGGACACTGAAACAGAGAGATAAGAATCTTACCGCAGTTTACATAGCTAGTGTGGAGTTTTGGGCTTTTTTTTTTTTTTTTTTTTTTTTGGCCTCAGAGGAGAACAGATAATGTGAAATCCCAGGTACCCAAGAAGAAAGCTTGCAGATGATGTTAGTCAATATCATTTGAAATTGTTTTATATTTTAACATTTTCTTGTCCTATTTCAGTATTAGGAGAGTTCCTGCATCCCTGTGAAGATGACATAGTTTGTAAATGTACTACAGATGAAAATAAGGTGCCTTATTTCAATGCTCCAGTTTATTTAGAGAACAAAGAACAGATTGGTAAAGTGGATGAAATATTTGGACAACTTAGAGATTTCGTATCCTTTTTAATTAGAAGACCCAGTGATCTCATTCGAAGGTTACCATTTGCTTTTTCTGGAGCTAAGTTCTGATTTAATTAGACTTCCTGCTTCATTAAATTGGACAGAATATTGCTGTGATTGGACCATAAAGGAGAATCAAGAGAGGAGAATGTATTTCCACATACTGAAAAGAAAAGACCCTATAAGAGTGACTTCCTTTTTGGAAGGTTTTAGAAATGACTGCCATTTGGATAAGTGCTACAGGATTAAGGTACTTTGTTTTGATTATGATGATGCCACAGGAGTAGTGTGGAATTAGAAGTTTTAAAAACAAAAACTTTTTTCTCTTGGAAACTCACTTCTTACCTTTCCTAAATATTCCCATATAACTTTGTTTTTATAATTACATATGAATTCATAAGGTTTTTTTTATCTTAATTGCTTATTCCTTAATATAACTAATAGTATTTTTCTGTTAAATTGTCAGAAAATATGAAGGCATCTTCCTTTAAAAAACTGCAGAAGGTGAGTCAAGCTTAGGATAACTAGGATCTTTGGTTTTATAAGTGAATGACCTTCCTTAGGACAGTGCTACTTAGCACTTGAGAATCCCCCGCTGTATCACTAGTGAAGCTCTTAAATTCAGATGTTTTGTACTTTAGATGTTGAACTTACTGATCTCTAAAAGCATATTATTTAATATTTAACATTTATTTAAAAATAAATATTTATTAGCAAATTCTATAACTGCTATATTGTGTTTTTTAGTTTATGTAAAACTCTTACTGGGAAGCTTACATGACCTAACATTCTAAGTAAAATGTTAAATTTTGAAATATTATTTGGGAGAAGTCAGACATTAAATGATTTCACAAATATTTCAATAACATTTTGATACGTGGTGTGAAGGAGAAATACAGATTGCTATGAGAATGTTAGTAGTGGGACCAAATTTAATATATTGGATTTCTGAGGAAGTGAACTAGAAGCCGAGACCTGAAAGTTGACTAGAGGTGATTCCCAAACCTCATTGCTCATCAAAATATCTACAGGAGCTTTTAAGGTCATTATTTCTTGGTCCCACTCTTAGAAATTTGAGCAAGTAAGTCTTAGGTAGGGATCAGGATTCAGTTGTAAAGAGGGAGGCTCCTGGATAATTTTGATATATTAGGCTAACGCTTGGGAACCACTGCTAGCCAAAGAGGTGGAAGCCCATTGCAAGTAGAGAAAAACAGTTTGTACAAGTCTCTGAGACAGCCAATTTAAGGATCTGAAAAAGCAGAAGTATAGCTCAGATACAGAACATTTAGATGAGACTGGAGAGGTAGGCAGGGGATGGGTTACTTAAGGCCTTCAAAGTAGTGGGAAAGAGTTTAGGCGTTAGTTTTGTTTTTAAATATTAGGATAAATACAGTTAAGTTATGTTAAAAAAGAGCACTGGAAAAATAAAAGCATGTTGGAAAGGGATTAGTACAGTATGTAAAGGAGGCAGGACAGAGAACTGCATTAATCCTGGAAGAGATGATATTTCGGACTAGGGTAGTAGTGACAGTGGAAATGGAGAAAAGTGGATTGATTTATGAGAGATACAGGAAGTAGCATTGATAGATCGTGGTAGTTGATTAGCAATATCTGGGGTGCCTGGGTGGCTAAGTAAAGCCTCTGCCTTCAGCTCAGGTTGTGATTCCAGGGTCCTGGGATGGAACACCCTGGTTGGCGGCTGGCTCCATGCTCAGCGGGGAGTCTGCTTCTCCCTCTATCTCCCCTCCCCCTGCTCATGCTCTCTCAAAAATCACCATCTTTCACATGTCTGATTTCAGCATCTTTGTGGATGTACCAAAATGGGGAACATTGGAGAAGAAGGGAATTGGGGGAAGATGGTGGATTCAGTTTTAGACATAATGAATTTGAAGCACTTAGGAGATACTCAGTTAGGAGCTCAAAGGAAGAGCTTGGATTAGAGATGGAATTGGAAGTTGTCATTGTACAGACAATATATGGTATAGTCTAGGAAGAAAGAATGAGAAAAAGAGCTTTGGGATACCTCTCTCTTGGAGACTGAGAAGTAACACCAGTAAAGGAGGACACAAACCAGGAGAGTTTTAGAAAAGTGGTTATCACCAAAGTCGGAAGAGCAGAAATGCTCAACTGTGGTAAAATGCTGCTGTAGCGTGTTCTTTGGATTTCGCAACAGTGAGGGCAAAATGTCATGGAGCCAGTGGAATGCTGGGCCCACTGATGAGATGGGGATAGTACTTTGTTGCTGGCATATGGCTGCTACTGGCTGTAGGAACCCTGGCAAGTACCCACTGGGAAATTGACTTGCTTTAGGTGGGCCTGAGAGCCAGGCTTCTCATTTAGTGACCTGAAAAAAGGAATTTACCTGCAGTACCCACTTAAATTCCATCTGGATGCCTGCCCTTTCTCACGATATTTTTATTTGAATATTTATTATTTTAAAGATTTTGAGAGAGTGAGTGAGAGAGAGCATGAACAGGGGGAGGGGCAGAGGCAGAGGGGGAGGGAGAAGCAGACTCCTGGCTGAGTGGGGATTCCAGTGTGGTGGGACTCAATTCCAGGACTCTGAGATCATGACCTAAGTGGAAGGCAGACGCTTAACCTACTGAGCCACCCAGGCGCCCCTGTGGATTTTTTATTTAGTGGGGTTTTTTTTTGTTTTGTTTTTTATCACGGATGCTAAATTGGTGCATTCTGCCTCTCCCCATTTCTAGATTCACTGTTTAGGTTCAGGTCTTCCTTATCCAGCCTAGGCTATCTCATTGAATTTTCTGTAATGATTGAAATATCTACCTAGTATAGTAGCCGCTAACCAAATGGTTAGCTATTGAGCACCTGAAATATGACTAATGTAACTCAGGAACTGAATTTTTATTGTTAATTAAATAGCCACATGTGGCTAGTGACTGCTGTATTGGGTGGTGCAGAGCAAGGCAGTATTTTTGAGAGAATGGGTTTGAAGGGAAGAGTGATAAGGTGGTATCTAAAGAGGGATTCATACATCTTATTAGTAATATATTACCATTTGAAACTGCTTATATGTGTTTTACGTAAAATTGTGAACTATACCTCATTATGTTTCATTATTATGAAAAATTATGTCTTTAATCCCAAGTAATAGAGCGGGATTAGTTTATGCATATCCTTTATGACTTGTATGTTCAGCAAATAGTTACTGATCTGATCCTTTATTAAAGTTTTGAAATAACTAGTATGTGCTTCATTTTGAATTTTAATGTTAAATTCTTAATAGTTTTCATTTTAGGGCAATTCTGTTGAGTGAAAAGGTAGTTAATATTTGGAAGGCATCTATTTATAAGGAGAAATGAGACTGAATTGGTCTTGGGTTTTTTATATACATGTAAATGCTTATTGTGTATGAAGTTTAAGTGCTTTGTGTACATTACTCTTTGGATCTTCACAGAGACTTTGGGGTAGGTACTTTGTTCTCTTGATTTGATAGATCAGAAAACTAAGGCACAAAGAAATTAAGTCTTCGCCTTTTAAGTCTAGTGTGTAGATTCTTCACGATTATACTGTAATGCTTCCTAAGTCGTCACACTAATTGTTTCTGTTATACTTCCAGTTTTATATAGACCCATATAAATTGCTACCACTGCAGAGATTTTTACCTCGACCTCCAGGTGAGAAGGGCCCTCCAAGAGGAGGTGGCAGGGGAGGTCGAGGAGGAGGAAGAGGCGGAGGTGGCAGAGGTGGCAGAGGTGGTAAGTTATTTTGGGGGGAAATTTTCTAATGAGATTTCAAAGTAGCAGCCAATTCATATAGTACAGTTTAATTTTTTATGTAGGAAAACCTCCTTTATGCTTATTTATTTTTTTTTAGAAAAGCTGTTTTCAAATCTTGGCAGATTATCAGAGTAATAGTGCTCAGTTTCAATAACTCATTTAAAAAATCTAATAAAGTGTAATTTTGAGGGATTTTATCTTTTTGGGGTTGTTCATGTTTTTTTGAGCATTTTATAAGGTAAAAAATGTGGGTGGTTAGATGATGAACAGAGTTGGGGATAAGGTGCAATGCAGCATCGAGTATGCCTAGATCTGTGAGTAGTGGGGTGGTGGGTGGGTGGCAAAGCCAAGTTATTAGGAAGGGGAGCGGAAGATTGGTTGGATATCTTCTGTTACTGAAACAGAAAGGAGAGAACTGTTTTTACCCTTTTCTTTCTCAATTTAGTTATTTCATTCTAAATGTGCTTTTTTAGGGCCACATAGCTAGGAGATAATCTCTTTAAGAAATCTGAATATATGTCTATTAAATATTTTTGAGACTCTAATGAGATCCCCCTCCCATTCTATATTCAGTCTCATATATAACGAAAAAAATTCATGTTTTCTTAAAACTTGTGTATTTGTATACCAGTATTTTAGAAATGTTTGTTTTTCCTCTTGTTATAATTCATCATTCCTTACCACAAAAAGAATTAAAAATGGAGACTGAAATAGGAAGCTAAATGTATGTTAAATAATTAAAAATTTTAAATTTTCTATTCAACATGTGAGTATCAGTGATCATCCATAATGTAGCTCAATTAACTTTAAATAATTGTTTTATTATAGGATCTTCAGAGTGAAATCGCCTCCATCTGCTACCCTTTGTTCTTATGATAAAAATCCTTAGTTCAATTAAAAAAGTAATTAAGCAAAAGTTGAGGTACTCCTGCACTTAACTGTAGGGCTGAATGGAACTTTAAAGTAACAAGTTTTTGTAATTCATTAAACCAGAATACTTGTTTAAAAAGTTACAATCTAGGGTATTAGGCTTATCAGAATAGGATAGGCTGCAATAATTTTATAAATATTTCTTTTTTTTTTAGGTGGTTTCAGAGGTGGAAGAGGAGGTGGAGGCTTCAGAGGAGGAAGGGGGGGTGGTGGTTTCAGAGGTGAGTGTGAAAAAACAAATCTTGGAATCACTGAATTTCTGAATTAGTATTATCTACCATTTAAAATTTTTTTTTAATTTTTTTTTTTAAAGATTTTTATTTATTTGACAGAGAGAGATCACAAGTAGGCAGAGAGGCAGGCAGAGAGAGAGGAAGGGAAGCAGGCTCCCTGCTGAGCAGAGAGCCCGGCGCGGGGCTTGATCCCAGGACCCCAGGATCACGACCCGAGCCGAAGGCAGAGGCTCAACCCACTGAGCCACCCAGGCGCCCCTACCATTTTAAATTTTAATTCAATCTTATTTTGGTTTCCCCAGTGTATAGAAACCGTGGTGTTCTTTGCTTTAGCCTGATTTATAGCTTTATTTTGATCACTTTCGTGCTTTTCCTTTTGAATTTTTTCACCTACTTCTAATTTGTTTTGCTGTATTAATTTGACAAACGAAAAGGTATAATATGAATGACAGTTAAATGTGGTAAATTGGTTGGCTAAACAGTCTAAGACCTCATGCTGATTTTAAACTTGAGATTTCGGGTATAGTGCTATTAAAAATTGATTTTCTGAGTGAAGTAAGTCAAGCAGAGAGAGTCAGTTATCATATGGTTTGCTTATTTGTGGAGCATAAGAAATAACACAGAGGACATGGGAAGATGGAGAGGAGAAGGGAGTTGGGGGAAATTGGAGGGGGAGACGAACCATGAGAGACTGGACTCTGAGGAATTGAGGGTTTTGGAGGAGTGGGGGTTGGGAGGTGGGTGAGCCTGGTGGTGGGTATTATGGAGGGAACATATTGTATGGAACACTGGGTGTGGTGCATCAACAATGAATTCTGGAACACTGAAAAGAAATTTTTAAAAATAAATAAATTTTTTAAAAAATTGATTTTCTATAGCCTTAATACTTTCATTTTCTCTTAATCAGGGAGAGGACATTAAGTATAACAGTTGGCAGAGAAACTTTCTACATGAACTACTTCTATGGATCAGAAACTTGTTTCTTGAGCAAGTCTTGAAGAACTGGTCATTTTCTGACAGTGGAACTAAAATGTCAAAGCCATGCAAAAATGAATGCAACAGAATAGGTGATTTTGCACTAAAAGAGTATGGACAAACATTTTAATGTTTTGTACAATGCTTAATAAATGGGCAGTTTCCATTTGAAGCATACTTGGAATTTTTAAAATAAAATGTTTTATTTCTTTAAGTTGTAACAGAGCAGCTGTGTTTATTAAAACAGGGCTATTTTTGAAGCTAAAAGGTACAACTAAGCTTAAACTCAGTGGATTTCAGATAGATAAAATGATTTGTTTACATATGTAACTGATCTTTAAAAAAAGTAGGTTAGTGGAACAGTACTTTAACCTTTTTTATAAATTAACACCCCCTTTCAAAATCTTTGCCTTTTGTTTGTGAAAACAATACCTTTTATTGCATTTCACTTGTGTATGAAAGAGTTACTAAAACATTTTCTTTAATTATGATTAATAATTGATTAGCAAATTTTGGTTTTGATTATGAATCTATTAAAGTTGGAACAGCTCTGTTCACGTGAGAACTGAAGTTCAGGAAATTTCTGGAGACGTGTTCAATTCTCATTCAACATAGATGGAATCTTGAAAGTTTTACTGAATGTTTTTATTTTACCTTTTAAAAGAAACTCTAAAGGTTAAGATATTATTTATCATTAAAAAAAGATGTTATTCTTTATAAATATATATTTGTTCAGATTCCTGGTTACATGTTCAGAATCCTGGGTAGGGACATTACAAATGAAATTGATTTTTGATCCCCACTGCTAGTGTAGTATCAAGAAGTAACTATGATAACAAGTTAGAATACTGTGCTAATAGGACCATTTGCCTGCCATTGATTTTTCCCCCCCACACGTATTTGTTCTCAGAAAGAGTGATATTTCCATCTTTGCTTAAATTTTCTAGCATACTATACCTAATATTAATACTTGGTTAACTCTTGAATACTTGTTTGAGGTAGCATATAGTATTGTCTGAGTCAGTGATGAGGTTTTATTTATCTTTCTTGATTAATAGAGTTGCAGCAGAATTAATAAATATGTTGGCCACGAATATATATAATGAACAAATATGTTGGAAATTACTTTTTCGGGGAGCCTGGGTGGCTCAGTCAGTTAAGTGTCTGCCTTTGGCCAGGTCATGATCCCAGCGTCCTGGGATCGAGCCCCACTTTGGGTTTTTTGCTCAGCAAGGGGCCTGCTTCTCCCTCTGCCCCCTGCTCATGTTGTCTCTCTCTTGCTCTATCTCAAATAAATAAATAAAATCTTAAAAAAAAAAAATTACTTTTTCACAGGAAGAAGCGGTTGTGTTTTTAGAACTTGGGAAGGGAGGCTATTCGATTTTTAGAAATGTTGGGTTGAAATTGGATTGAGAGTTACAGCCAGAGTTTCTACTCTTGGTTTGTAAAAAACCTAGCGAGCACTACAGGGGTGATGATGGCATTGTCCAAAGAACAAATAATAGTGCAACTGTCCTACACTTTTTTTGGTATTTAAAAGTCTCAAATGTCTGTGATGGAAGCAATGTGTAGGTTGGTAGACAAACTACTTGAAGGTTTCCCCTTTTACCTTAGGTGTATCTTCGGTCATTGTTTATCTTTATACTTTTACTCTCACATCTTATTTTCCCCTTTTCTTCCTTACAGTAGTTCTTTCTGGATTTCCTTTGGGGCATTCAGTTTTGAATCAAGTTCACATGTTTAGGGAGCCTAACAATGAATTTGGTACTGTGGTGTGGTAAATATCACTGAGTTCCATTCTAAAAGATTTTTTGATGATTCACATATTAAATCTTTGGAGTTGTTAACTGAATAACATCTTGATTGCTTGCGTCATGTTAAAATGTACTTGTTGCCATAGTAATTAAACTGTTTAGTGGAATACAAGCAATAGATCTTAGTATGCTTGGAAATTTGGGAAGAGTTATAAAAGGATTGACTTTAGGTCAGTTGAAGTTTATCAGATTAAAGAATTGTGAGCTATATGTAAGCGTTATATGCTTATAGTTCTATTACTTAGTATTCTAAGCCTTATCCCAGTACAGCTTTTCTGTATTGATCATGAAGGAGCATGAAAAAGTATTTTGAAAGTACTTAGCACATTCATACTTTTGAAGCTTTTTTATCTACAGCAGATAAATTTGGAATTTTTCTTTAGTTCTTAGAAATAATTCTTTCTGGAAAATTTAAGTGGATGCTACAACTAGGTATAATCCATTACAGAAAAGGAAGGGAATATGAACCTATGAACCAAAGAAAACACAAGTAATTTGTGACTTATTCTACATATTGAATGCCAAAAACAAAACAAAATTTAAAACCCAACAACCCAGAGATTTTTTTTTTTTAAAGGGGAGAATTCCTTTTAGGGATTATGTTAATTGCCTTAGGTCATTTGAAAATATTTTGATATTGGAATCTGATGAGATTCACTTTCCTAATATAGATAATCTTCGGAGTATTACCTTACATTTATGAAATTTTGAGTACTGGTTAGCTGTAAGATCTGGGACAGATCAACCTGGCTCAACTTCATTTTATTTTTTAATTTAAAAAAAAAGATTTTATTTAGGGGCGCCTGGGTGGCTCAGTGGGTTGAGGCCTCTGCCTTCGTCTCAGGTCGTGGTTGCAGGGTCCTGGGATCAAGCCCTCTGTCAGGCTCTCTGCTTGGTGGGGAGCCTGCTTTCCCCTCTCTCTTTGCCTGTCTCTCTGCCTACTTGTGATCTCTCTCTGTCAAATTAATAAATAAAATCTTAAGAAAAAGATTTTATGTATTTGAGAGAGAGCAGGAGAGAACACAAGTGGAGTTGGTGGATGGGGGTGCAGAAGGAGAGGGAGAAGTAAACTCCCCATTGAGCAGTCTTTCCCAGGACTCTGGGACCACGACCTGAACTGAAGGCAGACACTTACACAACTGAGCCAACTAGGTGCTCCTCAACTTCATTTTATACGTAGTTGGAAGAACTGAGGCAAAGGATTATTTTGTATCCTTTCCTGCTGCGCTATTCTAAGAGTTATAAAATTAAATTAAGTGGGTAAGTATAGCCCTCTAGTGGTTCTGTTACATGTTTACACTGTTAATTGGTATATCTAGCATTTCTCTGAAGTTAACTGATTTTGAAAAATTAACTTGAAAAGAATAGGATTTTAGTAATATTACATGACATAAAGAATATGGGGGGGAAGCTTATAGGGAGATCTTTTTTTTTTTTTTTTAAGATTTTATATATTTATTTGACAGAAAGAGACATAGCGAGAGAGGGAATACAAGCAGAGGGAGTGGGAGAGGGAGAAGCAGGCTTCCCGCCGAGCATGGAGCCCTATGTGGAGCTCGATCCCGGGACCCTGGGATCATGACCTGAGCCGAAGGCAGACACTTAACAACTGAGCCACCCAGGTGTCCCAGGGATATCTTATTCTAACAATTTTCATGCTAGATTATAACCTGTTTCTATAATTACTTTTTGGGTTATTACAAGATGGTTCAGAATATTAGAATTGCCCTGTACTTTACAGGATGAATCCAGATTCTTTGCTGATAGATGCTGTGATTATTATTATCTGATAATTACTTGTGCATATCAAAGCATTGGGTTAATTAAGGTGGGCTGTGAAGTAGATTATATATATGCATGCTATGAAATACAAGTTATTAATAAGTTAGACTTGGGTTTATTGGCCTGGAATTTATGATGTGACTTTAGAGGAAAACAGGTTACAGAATGATTTTATAAATGCATATCTCCCTGTTTTTCCTTAAAAGAAAAAAGTGGGAGAAACCTCGATACTAGTGTGAATACATATTTGTATAAGCAAAGAAAAACAAGATCTACACCAGAAAATATTCTACTTTTAAGAAAGTGAGATTTGGAAAGATGGAAGGAGATCACTTCTCTGTTTATGTCTGATTATTCAGATTCTTATGGAAAAACTTGAAAGGCTCAGCAGAAAGCAGGGCCCTTAATCTGAAAAGTTTTAGGAGACCAAGGCCAGTTCTTAATTTCAGAACTGATTCCACCAGCCATCAGTTAAGTCAGCTCCTGCTGATTTTGAGTTTGTTTATTGTTTGAATAGGAGGTGTGCACTTGATAATCTCCTTAGCTACAAGTCTGATGCCCCAATTGTTTAAAATGCTGTGCTTGGTATTTCTCTTTATTTTGCTAATAAGCTTTTTCCTTGTCCTGGGAATTAAAATCCTTTCCTCTCCAGCCCAATTAAGTTTGTTAAGGGAGGGCTTCTATGAAAAGGCCCTTCTTTGAGGTCTTTAAGTGGAAATGATTGGTTCTGAAAATTCTTCCTTCAGTGGTTCTTAAAAAATTTCATAATTATTGAAGGCTCATTATGAAGTCTGTCTCAATTTCTTCCCTCCAAAATGCTAAGGAATAATTTAGACAACAGTACAGACTCTAAACAAGAAGATGGCTCGGTCTTTTCACAGACTGAACACAATATTGTTGCAGCTTACTTGATCACAGCAGGTATGAAGGTTTATTCCATTAACTGTTATTTTGTTTTGAATGGGTGAAGGAAAGTAGAGGTTTTCAGCATAA